GATACCCCAGTTATTGTGATTTTATTAATTCATATTATATGCTTGTATCAAACATCACATGTACCCGCTAATACACAACTATTATATATCCATAATAATTGAAAATTTTAAAAATAATTCCTGCTTTTGATTACTTTAGCTGGATTTAAATATATATATATATAAATGTTATATAAAGGTAATAATTCCTAGAATGGGGGGTGGCTTGTCTTCTTAATTTGGTTTATCTCTTCTAGTTTAATACTTCATTCTGAACCTTACAAATAAAAGGTATCTGTTTGACAAATAATCATTTAAGTTATAATTTCATTTAGTTAAAAATTATCTTGAAATACATTTTCCCCAATAGGTTCAAAAGGCCTAGGAAGACTAGCAATCCAATTTATGTACACAAGAATGTCCCCATCCTCCTAATTCTTCCCCATGAAGTTACTTTTGTTGCTCTTGTTCAGAAAATTAATAATGGGTGATTTTACTTGGTCATATTCTTACTGTTCCCTTTTATAAGAATTTACCTCTGAAATAAACTGCTAGTCTCATGAGACTATTACTATACTGGTCTTACTATTCTCTTAACTAACCTGTATAAACACAAATGATAAAAATTTAAGTTGAGTAGGCCAGTACTAATCAAGCTGGTCCACGACTATTATCTTCAAGCAGGAAGTCTTTAACCCAAAAAATAAATTATTAGTGAACTAAATAAATAGTATGCTTCGTGATAGTTGGTTTAAGTTCTTTTTTGTTTTTTCCCTCAATAGAGTGCCAAGGCGTCATAGCTCACAGCAATCTCAAACTGTTGGGCACAAACAATCCTTTGCCTTGGCCTCTCAAGTAGCTGAGACTACAAGTACCCACCACAACACCTGGCTATATTTTAGACATGGGGGTCTTGCTCTTGCTCAGGCTGGTCTCAAACTTCTAAGCTCAGGCGATCAACCCACCTTGACCTCCCAGATTTTTTTTTGTTTTGTTTTAAAGAGGCAAAGTCACACTCTGTTGCCCAGGCTAGGGTGTGGAGGCAGCACCCCAGCTCACAGCAACCTCACATTGCTGACCTGAAGCCATTCTCCTACTTGGGCCCCCCAGAGTGTTAGGATTACAGGAGTGAGCCATCATACCCATCCTGCCTGGGTGCAAGTTCTTAATCTCATTTTGGGTTGGTAATGCAACAGTGTTCTTACAGTTCAATTTACTTGTTGAAATTATAACAAGGTAGTCAAGTCAGAGAAAAGACCACAAAGTAAGAGTTTAACCCTGATTTATATACGTTTCACCAAAATCAGACATAAATGAATAGGAAATAGAAGTCAGTCAAGCCCAAAACAATACTTTTGAGTAGCACTAGGGTCTGGCAACTTGACTCATCTTAGCAAGCTACAGTTCACTTAAAACAGATGTATAGTTTTACCTTTGGGGTACATAAATATGCTGGCAAATTACATACAGTACAGAATTCTGAGAATAAGGACAGTTTATGAAAATATAGACGTTTTCTAAGGTACGTTATGTCATTTCATCTTTAATAAACGTAGAGTCATACTTTACAGGGCATTATCCTAAACACAGGTAAAAAAGGCAATTCATCAAAAGTAATCTGAGCCCAAATTATCTAGCTAATAGATAATAACTATTAGCAGAAGCCAAAACAGGCCCTTTATTTCTTAACCATCAATGAAAATTGAGAGGATACTACCTAAAAGCCTCACCTTTAGTGATGCTGAGTGTGTTATCACCACTGGCTACAAAATCATAAAGTGCAACAAAGAGATTAGGGTCACTCTCAGTGGCTCCAAGCAAGTTCTCCTTGGAGCTCCACCTGATAGCTTCATGCAGTGCCTGGGGTTCAACATCACAACCATAGGGGCGATGCAAGGCTTCTGAAAGACATAAAAAATAAAGAAATTCACAAGTTCAACAGCTAAAAATTCATATGAATTCAGTACATGCACAGTGTTTCAGTTGCTGGCCCCAGAGTGAGACAGAACCATATAGTCTGTGGAGTCATGAAGAACGAGCAAATAGGCACCATGTCTCCTGAGCACAGGGAAGCAATTTACTTGTTGAAATTATAACAAGGTCGTCTAGTCAGAGAAAAGACCACAAAATAAAGAGTTTAACCCGGACTTATATGCATTCACCAAAATCAGACATAATAGGAAAAGCACAGTTTTCTCAAAATGAAAAAAAAAGAAATCTCAAAGAAAGAAACCATAAAAAGAAATGGCTCTAGCTTTATAAAATGTAGGATTATTTTGTTGTGCTGGTAGTGGTTTTTAAAGAAGAAACAGTATGTTTTATAAGTCCTTCCAAATTACACTTCTTTCCTTA